AACTTCCATTCCTAAGCTTTGAAAAACTTTAACAGCTAATTGTCAAAAAGCAAACATCAGTACTGTCATATAGTCTTGGGATAATTTAATAGGCCTTATAAACCATGGGGGGAAAGCTTTTGAAATTCACGTAAGAACTGAAAAATAATTCTATACAATGACTGTAGAAAATCTGAAAAAATATAGAATCCATTAAGCTCTGCTAAATCAATAATCTGTGCCTATAGAAGCCCATAAATATGCATTTTCACAAACATCAGTACTGTCATATAGTCTTGGGATAATTTAATAGGCCTTATAAACCATGGGGGGAAAGCTTTTGAAATTCACGTAAGAACTGAAAAATAATTCTATACAATGACTGTAGAAAATCTGAAAAAATATAGAATCCATTAAGCTCTGCTAAATCAATAATCTGTGCCTATAGAAGCCCATAAATATGCATTTTCACTATTATTACTCAGTCATCCATCTGTTGTGCAGGCCCCATTCTTAGTCAAACCTCCTACTTCATTAAAACCAATGGCATCAAGCTAATGAGCGAGGTTGGCATAGACCTGGCGCCAGCCATTCAATGTCTAGGGGAAAAAAAAATCCCCAAAGTTCAGAATAATGGGAAACCAGCTGTCCCTACAAGTTAATTGATGTATCTTTTTGCAAAATTCATAAAATTTCTAAGCATGCAATCTTAATATTCCCCTCCCCAAATGTTTTATTTATACAGTATTTCTATAAATGTTAATCTAAGATGCAAAAATACGATTTTCCTGGATAATTTTCCATAATTAATACCCTCAGAAACTCAAGACAAAATGATTACTTCTATTCTTAGGTTATCTTCATTTGACAAAAGAATATTAAACTAAGAACCCTCATTTATATCCTCTTGTGTGCTTCTCAAGACACTTGGAGATAGACTTTTCTTTATTCTTCTTACCACTACCTTGTCAGCAGGTTACCAAATGTATTGAGCAGATGGCTGATATTGGGGGTGTGTTATGAGCACACATTGTTTACTTTGAGGAATTGCCTGCCTGGTTCTTCGAAACCCACCCCCAACCCAGTCCCCACCCCAATCCCTTTCCCAACATCTCTGTCTTTTATATCCCAGCTTGCTCCCTGTTATTCCTTCACATTTTCTGGTCTGGTCTGCCTTCATCTTGATGCCTCCTGAGCCTAGCATACCATTCCCTCCAACTAAGTTGATCCCAGTTCTTCTTAAAGTTGGAAAACTGTGCTCCTTCCCTGTAGATAGTTGAAGCCAGCCCAGGCCCACAGAAAGTTTCCATCACCTCACAGCCTCACAGGTCTTTCCTCTAAGCTCATGGCTGGTATACATCTAGAATTATCCAGTTTGGAATTCTCACCCAGTCTGTAAGTTCTTTGGCTTCTAGATCGTATCATTCATTCACTTCCTCAGGTTTTCACAATATCTTTTGTAGTGTTAAACACATGGAGTTGACTTTCAAAATTTTTTGATGCTGCTGTTTGGTTCTACTGAGCATTTGGTATCACAGAAGGAGATCAAGTAACAGCATTTAGAACGTTTTTATTTTCAAAGTACGGCTTGCAGAAGCCTTGGTTTGGGGTAAGGCAAGCTTCATTTTCTGCAGGGCAGCCATCTTCCCACCCTCCCATTATGACATTAGAGGATCTAGGAGAGCCCTACTGCTCTGTAGCCTCTTCAGAGCTCGGAAGGAATGTGGCCTGGTTCCTTTGGGGAGGAAAGTCCACACTCCTCACTGTGTTCAATTCATCTACTTTGATTGCCTCAATCAGCACAAACTTTAGCCACTCCCTGAAAGATCTGTGGGGCATTTTAATCTCTTCAAAGCAAGATACATTATCACCTTCATTAGGAAGCCTAGAAAGAGTTTTTATGTACCCCCAAGTAGAAGAAAAATCCTCTAAGTTTCTGGTTTAAAATGCACAATAAAATACATACTTTTTTTGATCTAGAAAAAAACAAAACAAAACAAAACAAAAAAAAAAACAACTACATTTTTAGCCAGGCATGGTGATTGACCTCAATAATCCTTCCATGTGGGAGACAGAACCAGGGAATACTATGAGTTTGAGGCCAGCCTGGGTACTTAGTGAGTTCAAGGTCAGCCTGGGCAACAGAATAAAACTGTGTCTCAAAAAATAATAAGGGGCTGGAGAGATGGCTCAGCAGTTAAGAGCACTGGTTGCTTTTGCAGAAGACCCAGATTCAAATCCCAGCACTCACATGATGGCTAACAACCATCCATCCCTAACTCCAGTTCCAAAGGCTCCGACCTGACTTCTGGCCTCCACAGGCACTGCATGACATGGGTGCACTTAGATACATGCAGGCATAACACCCATTCACATAAAATAAATAGTAAGCAAATAAAAAGTTTTTAAAAATAATAAATAATAAAAACAAATTTTAAAAAATGTGTTCAAAGTATGAAAATCACTCTTTCTCACATAGGCCAAATGGCCTCCCCTCCTGCCACTGTTGCTCCTGATACTGTTGAGCCTCCAAGTCCTCAGTGACTCTCACTGAAGAGTGCAGCGTCACTTCAGGAAGCCCTACAGTAGATGCTGCCATCCTCCAGGGCAGCCACCGCGGGGAGCATCAAGCTGTTGGTGTCATGCTGTGGAATGGAAATTCACAGAATCAGCTTGTGGACAGTGACTCCCAGGAAAGCTTAGGATCCCACATGGCAGCATCCCTGGGTGCAGCAGAAGTGTCCAGACCTCTGTGGGACTCCCTTAGGGATTCCATATCAGTCAGCCCCTTGTTACCTGAGGCAATGAACTTACAGAGAATAAAAATTCCTTTTGACTCCTTCTAGTTTCCAGTCCAAGATCTGGTAGCCCTTCTCCCCTTTAGGCATCATATCATGACAAGAGCACACGA